GCATCACCCTATGGGGCTGAGCATCACGCTGTGGGGCTGAGCATCACGCTGTGGGGCTGAGCATCACGCTGTGGGGCTGGCTGACCCCCACGCAGCCATGGGGCAATAAAAACCTTTTTAGGGTGGGTTTGCTTTTTTTTTTTTTTGACTTTTTTTTTTCTTCCTTTTCCCTTTTTTTTTTAATGGAAAAAAGCCCCTCAGCAGCGGCCGTGGAAGAAAAGAACCTCACAGCCACAGCAGAACCCAGCGGGGAAGGGGGGGAGGAGAGCAGGGAGCCCACGGGCGACGTCCTGCTGTGGGGCCGCCCCATAGCGGCCAGCAGTCCTGCGGCTCCACGCGCCGATCCCACAGCGTCTCTGCAGCAAAGCGGCCGCGTGCCGGGGGGGGGGGGGGGGGGCAGAGGGAGGCCCTGGCGCTAAGGGGAGCCGTGGGGCCGGCTGTGGTTGCCCCCATGCGTCACGAGGCTCCCCAGCTCCGTGGCGGCGCCGTCCGCCGTGGGGCCGCGTGGGGTGACGACGACGGCGGCGGAGCTTTGGGTGCCGTTGGCCGTGCGGAGCTGCGGGGCCGGGATGCGGGGCTGCACCAAACCCAGAGCCCCCAAGGCGGGGATTTTCCGCAGCATCTCCTCCCTGAAGCTGTTGCTGGGGTACCTGGGGCTCTGGGGGCCGCGGCGGCCGCGTGGGGCTCGGGGGTCGGCGCCGATGTCGGCGGTGAGGTTGGTGTAGAGCGGGCGCAGCTGCTTGGCCAGCAGGCTGTAGCTCAGCGAGTTCATGCCGTCCTGCGTCCACGTGCGCTGCGTGCGGATCAGCAGGTCGAACCTGGGGGCGTCCGATGAGGATGGGGGGCTGAAATAACGGCCACCGGCCCCACGGCGGCCCCCCATCGCCGCCCCCCCTCACCTGTGCGGATTCTCCTCGTTGCCTTTGTCGCTTTTGTGCTTCACCATCTTGTAGTGGCCGATGGAGACGGGCGGGCGGGCGATCTTCATCCCGGCCAGGCGCACCCTGCGATGTGGGGTTTTCCCCCCCCGCCCCCCCAAACCCGACCCCAAAAACGTCACCGCGGCCCCACGGCCGACGCCGGGGTGAAGCTGCGGCCCCCCGCTGCGCTCCTACCTGGTGGCGATGTCGTCGTCCTCGCCGCCCCAACCCCAATATTCGTTGGGGAAGCCATTGATTTTCATGTACTGATCCGGGGTGAGAGCGGAGACCCCCCCAAAGTACTGCGGGTACGGCAGGCTGGGGGGACAGAGAGGATTTGGGGGTCGGGGGAGGCCTTAAAGGTGGTGGGGCTGTGGGATGGTTGGGTTGGGAGGGTCCTTAAAGGTCACAGAACAACGGGATCACAGCAGGGTTGGGTTGGAAGGGATCTTAAAGATCCCAGAAGCATTGAATCATAGAATGGTTGGGTTGAGAGCCGCCCTAAAGATCAAAGAAGCACAGGATCACAGCAGGGTCAGGTTGGAAGGGTCCTAAAAGGTTACAGAACATTGGGATCACAGCACAGTTGGGTTGGGAGGGTCCTAAAAGATCACAGAACCATTGAATCGTGGAATGTTTGGGTTGGGAAGGTCCTAAAAGACCATAGAAGAATGGGATCACGGAATGTTTGGGTTGGGAGGGTCCTTAAAGGTCACAGAACAACGGGATCACAGCAGGGTCAGGTTGGAAGGGTCCTAAAAGGTTACAGACCAATGGGATCATGGAATGGTTGGGTTGAAAGGGTCCTAAATGATCACAGAACGTTGGGGTCACAGCAGGGTCGGGTCGGAAGGGTCCCGGCAGGTCGCAGCAACGCTCACCTGTACCCGAATTTATTCATGGCGACGGAGACGTGTTTGGGGTTCCAGGGGTCGCAGGTGTAGAGGTTGTGGTCGTTCTCGGGGATGAGGTCGACGTCGTGCAGGAAGAGGCAATCCCACTCCTCGTCCTTCAGCGCCTCCTTCACCCCCACGTTCAGCAGCTTGGCGCGGTTGAAGGTGCCGTTCCCCGCCTGGGGGCCAAGAGGAGGAGGGACGGGGTGAGCAGTGGGGCGGCCCCACCTCAAGGCGGCCCTGCAATGAGCAGCAGCCCTACAGCAATATGGGGCGGCCCTACAATAAAGATCATGGGGCGGCCCTACAACCCCACGGGGCAGCAGTAACGCCACGCCACCGCTGGGGGGCGACGTCGTGCAGCCCCCCCAACAGCAGGGGCTCCAGGCGGCCCCTACAGACAGCCAAGGAAGCGCGGCGCAGCGCCGGCAGGGCGCCCCCACCTGGTGCACCACGTAGATGCCGTAGTGCAGCTGCTGGCGCTGCAGGAAGGGGTGCAGGTAGTAGAGCAGGTGGCCCAGGTGCGTCTCGCGGTTGCGGTGCGGGACGATGACGGCGGTGCGGGAACGAGGCTCGCAGGTTTGGGGCCGGTAGCGACCGCCGGGCTGCACTGCAGGGTTCTTGGCCTGGATCTGCTCCAGGGTGGGCACCCGGCTGAAGGTCACCGTCAGGGGGCCGACTGTGGGGGCAGGGAGGGGGGAGGGAGACAATGGGGACCGGTGGGGTCACGGGGGCCTTCGTTACCCCGTATCCAGTGGTGCCTATGGGGTCCCGACCACCCCGTAATCAAGGGCACCAACTGGGCCCCAGTTGGGTCATGGGGGTCCCAACCACCCCATATCCAGTGGCACCAACTGGGCCCTGGGGTCCCAACCACCCCATATCCAGTGGCACCAACTGGGCCCTGGGGTCCCAACCACCCCATATCCGATGGCCCCAGTTGGGTCATGGGGGTCCCAACCACCCCGTATCCGATGGCACCAACCCAGCCATGGGGGTCCCAATCACCCCATACTTCATGACACCAACTGGGTCGTGTAGATCCCCAATCACCCCATCACCAACGGCACCCAACTGAGCCACCAGGATCCCAACCACCCCATATCCAACGGCACCCACCCAGGCCCTGGGGGTCCCACTCGCCCCACAACCAACGACACAAACAGCTCCTAGCTCCCCCCACCCGACGCCCCGTGACCCCACGCGTGACCCCACCCTCTGACCTCTGACCCCCCTCCCCCCCACTCACGGAGGAGGGGTGAGCGCTGCGGGCAGTAGGGCAGCGGCTCGGCGGGGTCCCTCAGGGCTCCTTGGGGCAGCAGCCGGCTGAGGTTGGCGTAAACGTCGTGAGTGCGGGAATAATCCACGGCGGGGGGGGAGGAACGACCGAAAAGAGCCGTGAGGTTCCGGAACCCCCCCAAAGAAAAATAAGCGACGAAAGCGAACTGGCAGCCGATCAGCAAGGCCAGAGAGCACGGCCGCTCCAACAGCCGCCGCAGCATCGCGGGGTGGCGGTGGGGGGGGCACCGGGGCGAGGCCCCCCCGGTGGGTGCAGACGCGGCCCCCCAGCGGTCAGCGCCGCCCGGCGGCCGCCATCTTGGCTGGGGGGGGGGGGGGGTGGAGGTGAGGGGCGTGGGTTAAAGGGGCGGGATTTGATTGGGCGGTGATTGGATGAAGGCGGGGCGTAGAGGGTGAGTTGGCCTGTAGTAGGAGGGGATTGAAGGCGGAGGGATTTTGATTGGGCGATGCGCAGAAGGGGGGCGGGGGCAGTAAGAGGGGCTCGAGGAGGGCGGGATTTGATTGGGCGGTGCTTTGGAAAGGGGCGTGGTTTAGTGGGTGGGTTAGCTTGCGGTGAGCGGGGCTTAAAGGGGGCGGGGACAGAGGGGGTAAGAAGGACGGGAGGGGAAATGTGGGAAGAGTTGCGGGGTGGAGGAGGAGGACGACGCGGGTTAATCGTGCGGAAAGTGCGGGGCCGCCAGGGGCACCGAGTGGGGACAGAATGGAGGCCTCCGACCCCCCCCGTTACCACAGCAACGGAGCCCCTCACCTCTGCCCCGCCCCCTTCCGGTGACGTAGCAAGAAGTGGGCTCTCTGATTGGTCGGTGTGCTGCTCGCGGACCGGAAGTGCCGGAGCGGCGGGAGGGGGGGTAACGCCATGATGGCGGCGGCTGCGGAGCGGTGCAGCCGGGATCCGTGCGGCGCGCTCTGCCCGCTGCTCGCCTACCTCAGCGTGGGCTACGCCGACTACGCCGTGCTCGCCCACGTCCTGCCGCAGCCCGCGCTGCGAGCCAGGTGCCAAAGGGAGGAGCCGGGGCTGTGGGGCGCCCTATGGGGGGGCAGCGAGGCCTGTGGCGGGGCGTGGGGTCTGCGGGAGCACCGGGACCCCCTCAGCTTCGTGGCTCCTTGGGAGGCTCGGCCCTGCGGGATCCTCCTGTGGGCTGCGGGGACACCCTGGGTGCCGCCATGGGGAGCTCGGGGTCCCGGGGGCCCCATGGTGTGCAGGGTTCCCTCCTGGATCCGCGGGGCCCGGTGGCTGTGGTGTCCGCACGGGGCTCGGGGTCCGTGGGGCACCGCGTCTATGGGGTCTCGGTGGGGCTGTGGGCACTGTGTCTATGGGATCCCCGAGGCTGTATGGGATTCGCAGGTCTTTGGGATCCCTGCAGCGATCCGGGGCCGTGGGGCAGTGATTGTGCAGGGGCCCTGCGGAGCTCTGGGTGCTGGGGGTCACCGTGTGCCCCCCACCCTTCAGCCCATGGTGCCCCATCCACGCAGTGACGTTCAACCTTCTGGTGCTTCTGCTTCTGGCCTCCCACACCCGCGCCGCCTTTGCCGACCCCGGTGAGTGCCACCCAAACTTACATTCATAGGGGTCCCCCCCCCATTTATTGATATGGGGGTCCCAATAAAGCAAGCATTCATCCCACTCCCAACCCCCAGGTGTGGTTCCCCTTCCCGGCACCGCCATCGACTTCTCAGACCTGCACCCAACGGAGCGGGTGAGCCCCTGGGGGCTGCTGCTATGGGGTGGTGGGGGGCTGCTGCTACGGGGTGGGGGCCCTACACCGAGTGCTGCCCCATTCCTTCCCCCCCCC